TCACTTCGTTCCAAGTATAGACGTCCCTTTGAGCCCTGAGTTTGCCATTCAGCACAAACACCATTCACCAGATGTGTGCCATTTGCACATTTGGTGAGTTTGCTGAAAGTTCCTACAACCAAACTAACAAATTAAATGGCGGTCCCAGCAGTTCCAAGTAGAGTCTCTGGAAGCCGCTGATCTGTTCATCAGCTTCTTTGGTGTGGGCATTCTGCCTCCAGCAAATGCACTTTATTAAATGTCTTGCTGAGATGCGGATACACTGTGGCGACATCTCCCTAATCTAGCTGGTTTAGTAACTTGATTTGAGAGAGTTAAGTAGGCATGACTTTTAATTTTTATGACTTGTTTTGTGACTTTTGGGAGTTACTTTCTTTTTGGGGGGAGGGGGGAGTTACTTTCTCATCTATAAAATAGGAATGATTATACCTGCCCATAGGGTGATTGAGAGGAAAAGAGAGATAATATACGTAACATGTCTAGGATGTAGTAGCATTCAATACATTGTAGCAACTGTTATTAGCCAGCTTCCTTCCTCCCTCCCTCCCTTCCTTCCTTTCTTTTTCTTTCTTTCAGCAGGGAATATTTGCCTATACTAGCTCTTTACCACTCTCTCATTTTTCAGAGTTCCTCAAAACCTTTAGTGATTTCCTCTCTAAATTCTCAAAGCAGAAGGGCTAAAATTTGTCAAGAGACCTCAACTTAGAGCAGGTGATCTCTTCCTCTTCACTGAAGTGTTAGTGAAGAAGATTTTCTTCTTTCCTAGTCACATTTCTTAAACCCATGTTTCTTAAAAATGTTCATAAGTGGTTCACTACTCCAATTCAGGTTTAATCTTTAAAAAGATGATTGAGTACTGCTAGACTGTTCTGTTATGTATCCGGATTGTAGGTTACAGGCACACGTTTATCTTATTCATTGCTGTATCCTCTGCCCCTAGCCCAGTGCCTGGCACAGACTAGGTCTTTAACGAGAATATACTGACTAAATAAAAGTTTTCTTCAACCTAATGAAAAAACTCCATATATTTCTTCATAATACCTAAAAAAGTTATGAAAATTAAACTCAAAATGTGAATTCCTCCCCTAAACTAAAAGTTACCATGGAAGAGATCTTTCCAAAATAGAGTCTGCAGGGTGAGTCATCTGCTATTTGTATGGAAGGATGGCTGTCTTCAAAAAATTCATGTAGGTAATGGCTAGAAGGTTGGGCAGAATTATAAGTAACTGATTTTGTTACTGTCTTTATAGGGAAGAAATTTTTATACTGTGAGCCTCATAAGAGAATTAAGGAGGTACTAGAAGAAGAACTTTACATTAAGAGAGATGAATGCCACATTAAAAATTCACCTGCAGGTAATCTGAGGGACAAATGAAGTATATTTGCAAAATGCATATAAAATTGCCTAAATGATGACAGAGTGATTATTTTCTTTATTACAAAACCACGACTGGCAAAAGAAAAATGGGTCCTTGGGAAATTCTTCAGTTACTTTTATAATTATTTTGCCTATGTCCAAATAAATTGTTGTTTTTAGAACAAAAATGAGCTGGGTATCAGTATCTACACTGCTATCCTGCATTTCTGGTGGAGTTATTTCTATTTTTTAACTAGTAGAATTTCTTCCAAGTGACCAGAAAAGCACAATAACATCTTCAATCTTTATCAGTATAAGTATGACAATAACAGTGGTTCCCAAAGTTAGACTACATCAGAACTGCCTGGTAAAAGCAGATACCTGGGCCCCAACCATGGAGTAACTGACTCAGTAGGTCTGAAATGGGGCCCAAGAATTTGCATTTCTACCAAGTTTCCAGGTGATTTTTTTTTTAAAGTTTTCATTTCTTTCTTTTTTGGGGAGGGGTGAGGGTAATTAGGTTCATTTATTTATTTATTATTTTAGAGGAGGTACTGGGGATTGAACCTAGGACCTTGTGCATGCCAAGCATGCACTCTGCCACCTGAGCTATATCCTACCCACCCCAGCTGATATGGACGATACTGGTCCAGGGACCCCACGTTGCAAATCACTGACCCAGAAGAACTCAAGTCATTTAAATAGGTCAAACCACCCAAGGATTTTATCCTGCATTAACATAATGACTTACATGGTCTGGGCATTGGTAACTCTCACTGATGGTTCATTTGAAAAAAGATACACTCTCAGCCATCCTCGCCGATGTTATTTTGAACTGCTGGAGCCCCTCACTTTCATAGATCCTATTCAGTGAGTCCTAGGTGCATATTTCATGCTTTTCAAATCATCAGGCTTCGATTGCAACCCTCTTGGGTTCCAGCAGTTGCTTGAGGAAATAAAAAAACTGTAAGACATGACTCCTACATGCAGAGAACTTGACATTTTCTGAGGCATATTTTTGAACAACAGGCGGGTGGGACCTGAATTCACTAAGGATTCCTAAGAGCAGATGCCGTAGGCCCAGAGGTGCATCTTTTCAGACTCCATGGTGTATCTTCCCACTTTACATTTTAAAACGAGCATAGAAACACTTTTTTAGGCCTTCTTGTACTGCACATTCTTATGGGAAGAAAGACCAATGAGATGGCTAATTTTTTTCACACAGTTTCTTGAAGGAAAGTTTTAAGTCTTAGAGTCTGAACGCTATGGATAGATGCAGAATGACCTACTAAATTGCTTCTCTGACACCTAACTACATGCACTATTTCCCTGGTGGTTGAAAGAAAAAAAATTAAGTCTATGCTATTCTGCGTTGGGTTACCTTCGTTGTTTTCAGAGACTACATAAAAGCTGATTTATACACTAGTTGGATGTTATTCTTACTGGATACATTTCATTATGAGACAGTATAAGTGATTAGAAAAAAATCATTCAGTTTAGGGAAATTTATTTTTCTAGGCAATCTTTTCAAATATTTTTCCTGTAAAATGGAGAATGCCTTTTATAATATCCACCAGAGGTTGCACAGAGGTGCTATGTTAGCCTAAAAAAAAAAATCTTTCAAAGCTGAGAATTGACTCTGTAAGGTTCAATTTTAAAAAGGTCTATGAAAAACATAAACCTGCTATATATTTTTTTCTGTTTCTTTTCTTCTCCTTTTTTTAATGTCTGGAAGCCCCATGCCCTTGGCCAAAATACACAGCTTGTCACATACATCCAGAATTCTGCATAAAATTTTAGGGGCTTTATATCACTTCAAAAGCAGGTATTCTCAGATGGTAAAAGAAAGAACTTTTGACCCATTGTCTCCACTCCTTTACTTATCAGTTGCCCCCTCACCAATCCCCATTAGACTTTTTATTTATTTATTTATTTAAATTGAAATACAGTCAATTATAATATGGCAATTTCTGGTGTACAACACAATGTCCCCATCATACATATACATACATATGTTCATTTTCATACTTTTTATTAAAGGTTATTACAAGATATTGAACATAGTTCCCTATGCTATACAGAAGAAACCTTTTTTAAAATCTATTTTTATATATAGTGGCTAACATTTGTGTCAATCTCCCAAATTTATCCCTTCCCACTCCCTTTCCCCAGTAACCATAAGATTCTTTACTGTGTCTGCAAGTCTGTTTCTGTTTCGTAGATGAGTTCATAGTGTACTTTTTCTTTTTAGATTCCACATATGAGTGATATCATATG